GCCACAGAAAATTGTGTTGTTCAGAAAAAAATAACGATCCAATCCGTATTTCTGATCTTAATGACAAGACGGAGTACGTGGGATGAGGAGGCCCATTTCTGATGGATGAATGTGTGGGTCTCCATGGTAATGGCCATCTGTGCTCTATCCAGGGGTCTCTTCTCGCTGGGTGGTGGATTAGCAGGCAGTGAGTGGCTTCATCACATACTCTAGCCAAGCACCAGGCCTAGATATGAGCAGCCTGTTTTTACTGACTCCTGAGCTGTAAATGAACACCAGTGAATGAATTTGGATTCTCATGCTCTAGAGAATGTAGGGAAGTAATAGAATCCCAGTATTGCAAATTCCTAAGAATTCCCAAAAGCCAATTGATATGACAACTGATTAAAGCAAGAGGAGGAGTCAGTTTCCAATGAAATCCAATGAAATAGCTCTCACAACATTACAACTCCTACACGCATAGATGTGATCATGAGATTATGAGCTCAGTTCAGTCTTTGTTACAACTGTTCATGGCCTTGAGTCAGTGGCTGTGTATAGATGGCCTTGAGTCAATAGCCTTGAGTCAGTGGCCTGTAGTCAGTGACCTGGGGTCAGTGGCCTTGGGTTAGTGGACTTGAGTTAGTCGCCTGCAATCAGTGGCCTGGAATCAGATACCTTGGGTTCGTAGCCTGGGGTCAGTGGCCTGGCCTTGGGTTAGTGGCCAGGAGTCAGTGGCCTTTGGTTAGTGGCCTGGGATCCACAGTCTTAAGTTAGTGGACTGAAGTCAGTGGTCTTGGTCACTGAGTCAGTGGCCTGGGGTCAGTGGCCTGGGGTTATTGGCCTGGAATCAGTGGACTTGGGTTAGTGGTCTGCGGTTAGTGGCCTGGAGTCAATAGCCCCGAGTTAGCTCCCTGCAAGCAGTGGCCTCGAGTTAGTGGCCTGGAGGATCAGATGGATGATTATTTATTAGCGTTTATGCTGCAAAGGGCATTAGATGTCTTCATGTTCCGCATAGGAAGCCCTCCCCACTTATGATACAGAAAAACTAGTGGCTGCGAATTAGTTATAAATAATTTTGAGGAAAAATAAACAAACAAACAAATAAATAAATAAATAAATAAATAAATGCAAGTGCAGATGTTCTATTTTTATTTAATCAAGCCGATGTAGCAAACAAACCAAAGGGCTAAAGGGCCATGCAGCAGGCTAATGGTCAGATGACCAACAAGATTAAATCAGTAACCAGGAAGCAGGCTATGGACAAAACACTAATCACTAAAAAGAACAAATGACCAGGCAAATCAGCACAGACACAGAGCAAACAAAACTTCACATAATAACCCGAGAGTCCAGAGTATTTAAAGAGGGTGTGATTGCAAACAGGCGAGTGTCATTAGTAATCAACCTGGCTGGTGAACATGTAATAAGGTAATTAGCTGAGGATCATGGGAGTTGTAGTCCATAATAACCATGACACCCTATTACCAGATTACCATGCTTCCTCCGGCTTTCACTTTTCAGTCTCCATTTCTTTTCCTCATGTATTTTCAGAATAAAAACAACAAAAAACATAACCAACAACGCTGACAAAATGTATTTAGTAATAGCTAAACACCCAGGCTAAATCTACTTTGTATTTATCAACAGTAGAACAAATTAATTGACCTTTTGGAGATTTGAGGGTCAGGATCATTTAGCTTAGCATAATGAATGGCGCCTACAAAGGAACAAGCCATGTGTTTGATCCTTTCGTTTGTGGGTGTTGGCACAGGGGATGCGATGAGACCAAAAGTGTGTAATTATACATTGCAGGAAATGAAAGCAACAGTGCTGTCTTGAATTTTTACAGACTGCCAGAAACATTATCATGTAGTACCACTCTCAGTATGTAGGAGTGCTTTTATTTCTGCAGAAATGGCCATTACACGCTGCTGGGGAACTGCACAAAAGCCTGATGACTCACCAACATAAAGGGACTTTAGAATTATATATAGATACTGTTTGGATCTGTGTGTGTGTGTGTGTGTCTGCAGAACAGTTGAGCCGAGTGAATGCTGGCTATGCTGACAACATCCAGACGTGCCCTGTTTTCCAATATCAATGCCTGTTTGCACTGAAATACATTTTAAGGATCACAGCCACTAGAAGGTAAAGTAATACAATGTTATACACCTTATAAACCTCATACACCAGAGCCAGAGGAGAGTGTGAGAATCTGTCATAATCCCAAAATTTCAGATGACAGTTTTCATACAGACAGGAGACCATCTCCGCTCTTCAGTGAAACTGAATATACTGAATAAACAAAATTTAAAGGATGCAAAGTGATACAAAACTGAACATCATATTTCACTATGGATCAACAATTAGGCCTTGCAATTAGGAGTGTAACGATGCAAACGTTTTCAGGTTTGATTTTTCTTTTTAATCTAGGATCAAGATTTGATTAGATTATTGATATATAGTACAACGCAATCATTCTGCAGAGCTCCAATTATTCACTGCGCAACTGGGTTGGACTCAGAAAATACAGATTTTATTTCAAAACAAAAGATTACAAAGTAACATGCGCTTAAAAAAAATCGTGCAATTAAGCTATAAACAACACAAAAAACTGAGATCTTGAGCACTTTTATCTGATTGCTGAGCACTAATTAATTGCCTAAACCCTGTGTTTTCTAAGAATAATAGCTGGAGATTGATAGCATATCTAGCATATTCAGATTGCTGAATAAAACTACTTTGAAGTTTATTGTTGGAAATCTTATTAATGCAACAGGTCATTTCTGAAATGGAAAAATCTCAGTTTTTACATTTGGATTCTTCATAGTCCAGTACTTGTAGGTGTGACGCGATTAGCAACAAGCTGAAGAATTTCTGTAATTATTTATATCTGTGAGCAAAATATGAATAATTAAGTATTAAAAGGTAACCGTTATCACCATCCCATCATGTTCAGATGCTTATGTGGAATTTTGCAAGGGATTTTATGTAGCTGGACCTTCACAAATTTTAGCTGAATACTCCTGCACTAGATTCTTCAAATTTCCCTATCACAATGCTGGAGCCCTTGATGTACACTCTGCTTTGACTCATATGTTGCTTCTAGATTGCTGCTCATCATTAATGCCCCCCAAATCTGAGTGTGGATTTTACAAAGAACATCAGCTTTTTGCCACAGCACAGACATAGACGACTGCATTAATTTTCTCAGCCTAAATACTATATTTCCCAACAAGTTCAACTAATTAGAAAACACTAGCAAATTAAGCATAGACCCAACCAAACCATCTACAAGCACTATCATCAAGGACACACTGACTGGTGGCATCTCTGTGTGGTTTGGCAATTCCATCTCTCACCCAAATGACACATACACCCTCCTGAGAAGGGTCATGACAACTCGACGGATTACTGGAACACAACTCCCATCAATAGAGCAGCTCGGCCCAGCTGTAGATAGCCAGGAAGGCTCATTCCCCTGAGACACACGCCATCCGGGCCGCAGTCTGTTCACCTGGCGAGACACCAAATACAACCTGCCATGTCTCAGGCCAGAGAGCATCACAGGTTCATGAACAGCTCTTACACAGAGACAGCGTGTCTGACTGCCAAGGAAGAAATAATTCAGAGAGAAGTAATATATAGCGAGATCACAGTCATCTCCTGGGTGCCTTGACAAGCTACACTATATGGCCGGATGTTTGTGGACACCTGACCATCCACAAACTTTTGGCCATATAGTGTATCATGCTAAAGCTCATCATATACAGTGGTTTTGTACATCAAGTTCCTTCTCGTCCCCCAAGATGTTTAGATGAAATGTATATTCCCCGCATTACACTTTTTACAAAAAAAAAAAGACAATTTTTAAAGCAACTTGTACAATATGAAAAGATATGACAGTTAAAGTTAGTAGCTAGTAGTGGTGTTAATGTTTATAACCTTTCCGTAAAGTATCGCACAAAGTCAGAGCATATTACCCCAGTCTACTTCAAGCTACAGTGGCTGCCTATGACGTTCCACATTGATTAACACTAATGGTGTTTAAAGTTCTGAATTGTTAGTGTATCTTGCTGAACTCCTGAAGCAAAATAGCCCACCCGGATCACTTCACTCAGCTGAAGCAGGCCACAGCTCAGCTGGTGGAAGATGATTTTCTTATATCATCCCAAAACTCTGGAATAGTGTCTCAGAGAAGATTAGAAACGCTAGCTTAATGACTGTTATTAAATCCATATTAAGACATACTTCTTTAACATGGCTTGGGACTTGTTTTGTTGAATAAAGTTTTCTGAATTTGTAGCAACTCTCTTAGATTTCCAGTTTGACTCATAGTCAACTTGATATAGTTATTAAGCAAACTTAAAATGCATGATTGGATTCTAGTCGGACGATAAAAATGTGATGAATATTGTTTTTTTTTTTTTTATTTATGGAAATGTATTTTATGAGTACTTTCTAAGTTTATGGTTTGCTAATGTTAAATAATTTAGCAAATAATCTTAAGAGAACCTTAATGTAAAGTGAGAAAACAATTAAAAAGTTATAGAAATAAATATTATTTTTCAAACTATTGAAAAAGTGAAGACAGATTTTAATAACTAAAGCATGCAGTAAAAGTTATTACTACTAAAAAAAAGCAAAAACTAATTAGAAGCTAAAAAAAAAAAGTATATATGGTTTAAAGTGTTGATTAAAATGCTAATGGAAATTGCTGATTAGGAACATGCACAAATTATATATTGTTATAACTGTTTACTCTTTTTTTCCAAAATTATCTTCGTTCAACTTCTACTCTGTGCAGAGTGCATACAGTATGCTGTATATGTTGTTGTTGTTCTTCTTTCGGGTGCTGCCGTTAGGGGTCGCCACAGTAGATCATTGGTCCACATATTTGATTTGGCACAGTTTTTACGCCGGATGCCCTTCCTGATGCAACCCTCCCTAATTTTATCCAGGCTTGGGACTGGCACTGGGAGTACACTGTCGTGTGCAACCCCAGTGGCTAGAGGTGGTTCCCTGACCGGGAATCAAACCCGGGCCGCGGCAGTGAGAGCCCCGAGGCCCAACCACTAGTCCTCCAGGGGCCCAGTACACTGTATATGTGTATAGCCTGAATATTTATGTCTATCTATATTTTTACACCATTCCCATTAGATGAAACTGTAATATTTCCAATGAGGCCCTTCTGTAACAATGGTACATCGATCTTGAAAATGATCGTGGCCTCGGTTTAGTCCATGCAGGTACTTAGCAAGGTGATTTTCTTGTCTTCTTTTCTTTTTTGCAAACATAAAACCTTGATAAACTGTCTGCGATTCAGCAAAAACTCAAGGCCATTTTCAAAGCATCACTGGAAGTGTACCATTTCATGTCCCTGATGCATGTTTAGAAGCACATCTGGATCACGTCAAGTTTGTAGGCACTTCTGGCACCGCATATTTAGATAGATGGATATATCTTCCCATGGGCAAATTTGGAAGAAATACAAAATTCTATCCATTTGAATTCTTTTCCCATATCATTAAGCAGTCATTACAACATGTTGCCAGTGCTACAACTGTATGTAAAGAAGATAAATGTGCCCTTGTGTGCAGTGTATCTACGTTGTATTTCAGCAGTTGGTTGGTTGTGTTCTTGTGTTCCTGTTATCAGATGTGCTGCTTTGCCGGAAGGCACTAAAACTGGGGCAACATGAATTTGAAATGGGTCCTGTGAAGTACAAAACATCCTGTTTAACACAGGAGGAGCTAAATCTTTCCCCCCCAAGCCATCGTAAGCTGTGAATATGAACCACCTGTAGCCAATGTTAATATCTTTTATCACTTTTAACATCGGTCTGATGCAAGGGATGATTCTTGTTCGGTACAAATACGTCAGCCTTTAAAGAGTTCAAATGAGGAGAAGTATAGCTGTACAAACCCGTTTTATTAGCCAATGGTGCTCACATTTGCATGCTTAATTCCCAAGCAACAATTAGCCAGCTCTATTAGCCTGATGTTAAAAAGTTCTTTATGTGTTCAAGCAGGTTGGGTTGGAAACAAATCATTAACGGCAGTGCAGAAATAAGCACACATTGTATACAAACTAAAACTGTACATTCAACCTACACAATTACCACTTATTAATATATAATATTATATAACAATAAATAGTGGCACATCTGCAACTTCTATAACTCTGGGAAAATTCTTAATCTAGGATGAATAAAGTCTAATCTTATCTCTAATCTATTAAAGTCTGGAGTCATAGAAAAATCCCAGTTTCCAACCAGTCATTACAGCATTGTGGTGGCACTCAATGGTTGGTTATAGGTGGGTTCTTTTGTTGGTTATTGGCTTTTTGGTTGTTTATCTGTTGATTGGTTATTTGTTGGTTGTTTGCTTTCTGCTTGGTAGGTTATAGTTGAGTTGTTTGGTGGGTTATTGTTTGATTTGTTGGTTATGAGTTGGTGGGTTGGTTATTATTTGGTTATTGATTGGTTGGCTGGTTGGTTTTATGGTATTGTCAAGTCTAAGGGTGTTATTACGTTCACCGTTACTCAGTGTACCCGGGTACTGATTGAACTTTTTTCTTTCTTTTCCTCGTAAAATACTTTCATTTCTGTAATCGTTATACTGTAGTATAGTTATGCAATAAAACTGTAAACACAGCAACACTAAATATCTAGATACCTTTATGTGGTAAAAATTCCTATGATATCATGATAATTATCATGACCTATCTCTAGTTAAAACTATGTTAGTTTTAAACACAAGATCACTGGTAATAAAGGTAGGCTACTAGTTAAGGGTTTATGTGAGCATACACATGAATTCACATCTCCACATTGCAACAGTAGTGCTGAACTTGTGGGTTTCATGTAAAAAGCCAGAGGAAATGCATTAGACACAGTTACAGGGTGTGTTTAAAGCAAACAAGATTGAACAAATTTGCAGAAACACACACACACACAAACTGACTACACACAGGTTCCACCATGAAATTACTGGATTCAATGCAGTTTAACAGCTGCTTTGCTTTTCCTTTAAACCCACTGCCTGGCAATTTTCTCCTTGACTGAGCCTTCTGCCTTGACCCTCATCTAATTTAAGTCTAAAGGTCTGCTTTGCACGGTTCACAGTCTCGGTTCTGCAACATAACTATGGCAAAATAACAACACACACTAACACCTGAGCAATTTATTGTTATCGACATGCAGTTCAGTGCAAAAGTTTGCACTCCCTATCACTTCTCGGTGCAAAAAACTTAAACGTAATGAAAATGTACGCCACTTGAATTTTACAATTTATATGCAAACAAAAAAAGGGATTTTGAAATTGATTAGGAAATGAAGGCGTATCATGCAACAAGAGGACAATCCAAAACATTCCTTACATAACTTGCACAATCTGACCATGTAGGAAACCTAATATACCAAAATCCTTGTTGCTATAAATTAAATTTCTTTGTCTTTTTTAATTGTGTCCTAAACGTATGCAAACTTTTGCACTCACCTGTAGAGTTTTGGCTTTTAAATTTAACCAGGCAACTATGAGAAAAGAATATACAAACAATAAAAAGGAATATGATATATTGACCTTTGGCCTACCATGTCACCAAATAATCAGGTTTAATCTTAGTGATTAATTACCTTCTGCATTAATTATCAGCTTTGGAACCTACACACTGGGCAAACTTTAAACCTTTACTTCCCAAAATCTGAATTTGATCTCAATGCTTGGGAAAATGAGGATTTTTTAATGCTCTAACACACACAGGCTGTTAGGTTAGATAACTCTCAGCTCTTCATAATAAAGTCATAATTGCGAGCAAAAATCAGCTGGTGGTTATGTCCCAAATGACTTATATTACCTCACTACAGGGTTCCAATGAAGAGCTCGGGGGTTAAGTGTGTTTCTCCGGGGTTTATTATCAGTAACCACCAGCTGTGACTGAACCATGACCTCCAATCAAATAAAATCCACTTTCCACTTCTGCTTTTGAAAGTGAAAAAAAAATTATATATATATATATATATATATATATATATATATATATATATATATATATATATATATATATATACATATATATAAACCAATACAACTTTCAGTGTGTGTTACTGATCCATATAAATACAAATTAGCCTGTAGTTCATCTACATTTCATTTTTTCTAGAAAGCACCTCTTCTGAGTCACTAACAGTCATTTTCTGGAAATTTCCATCTTTTCACAGCTTACCCCAGGTATTCACTCTTCATCAGGAGTCAGAGCTGCTAATGTGGCTCAATAGGAGAGCAGGACAGCATTATCAGTCATTACCACATTCCCTGTTGTAGGTATGAATGACCTCGAAAACGTTAGCGGTGCCAGCCAAAAACCTTTCACTCATTGCTTCAAGTACAAATTCCCAAATTTAAATTTATATTCCCAAGCAGAAAGCAGCTTTTGAAGGAAATGTAGTGTAAAACTGCACATGCTAACAACTCTGTAGAAGTCTTAAGTCTTAAGCACACCTAATGCATAAAAACTGATGCTGAAGTTACCGAAAAAAAGATACCGAGATCTTTTTTTTCCATACTCCCTAAACTGTACCTTTCCTTTTTGCTAGGATGGAACGCTTATCTTTTGTACTTTCAATATGTATCTTTTACCTGGAGATATGGATATAATATAGCTTTAAGTATCTAAAATCTATAAGGTCCACAATTGGACCGTAATTAGTTTTAAGAGTAAAAGTATAAACTTTAACACATTTTTTGGTAAAAAAAAAAAAAAAAAAAGAAATTACCTGCTATGTAGGCACAAAAGATGTACTCTTGAGGTTAACACTCCAGGGACAAGGAGAGTAAGTGTGCATTTATCATTTTCTTTAAGATAATAGAATCAGTTTTGTTTTGTTTTGTTTTATCCTAGAACATCAGGTTTTTCTGAATATAAGGCAATTTTTAGTTTGAACATTTGGTTTGGTTTGAAAAAAAATGGCTCAGCATCTGAGTCCATGTACAGACTGCGGGTTTTAATACACTCCGAAAATGAGCAACTTTCCATTTGAAGAATCCACATCTGATGTGTTTCGGAATCAGTTTTTCAAAGAATGTCAGATGCAATGTTTTTTTTTTTCTCTCAAAAATTTTCCGGGACGAATTCTTAGTCATGGATAGAATAAAAATCATTAAGTATGTTCATATTGAAATTTTTGTGACAAGATTGTGCTGTATTTTCTTAGCGGCTGTGTGCCACACTGATGCCACAGGTGGACGCTGTTAATGCCAGCGCAGTTACAATGGAGTTTAATAGGAGATAAAATGTAACCGATCTCAAACATAAGGAATAACCGTCAGGTTTTTCTGTTAGCTCGTAAAAACCAAGAGCTTCTTCTTTAGTCACTTAACATTTTCCAGTGAAGCTCAACACCATGATAATGAGAAATCCATCACACAAGTCGTGGACACGTTGGTGAAGATGATGTAATGCAATGCAGCTATGTGACGCAGTTGTGCTCGGCTAGTTAGCGAGCTACTTAGCGACGACAAGCGTGGTGGCATTAAAAGCAGAATTAGCATGAAAGCTGAAGTTTTGGAAGCTGATCTGTTTGAGCAGAGTGTACAGGTGAGGAGGTGAGAGAGATGAACAGACTAAGGGCCTAAGTGCAGCTGCATCACTCTCTTTAGGCAGAGATGAAGCAAGGGCTAAATCCAACTGCACCACTATGAGCAGGTGGCCAAATGGCATTGTGGGTAATGTAGGAAACTGTTAACTAAAGTGAAAATACATCAGCTTGCCAATGAAAGATAAAAAAAAATCAACTCAGAATTTCATTACAGTATAAATCCTGGACATCACTGAAGATCACATGTTAATTTTACAGGTTAATATGCAAGATGTTCAGGGTGGATTTTTCCTTAATTGATGTTTGTTTACATGTTAAGTATTCGTTATTGTGAATTAATGCAGCTAATAATACTAGGTCATGGAACCTTAATGTAACAGAACCTTGTGTTTATGTCAACAGATCATCCGGAAATAGGCTAACATTTTTTTTTAATAAAGATGAAACCAAAATTTTGGTTGAAATGGACTTTTGTACACATATCCGGGTGTA